ACAACCAAATCCGAGCTACCTGTACGCTGAATCATAAAAGCTTTCTTGGTCCCCACCTCTCCCCCGCCCCTCCCCCACATCCACACTTTCTACCAGCCCTCCCCGTCCCCTTTCGCTGCACTGCCTCTACATTATTTGATTGGAAAACCGGCCTCCACGGCTTGTTCTCTCCTGCTCGATAAAATATTCATCCCAAAGCTTGTTTCCGATGAAGTCCTCTCGCTGACAGATTTTCGGCATTCGAGGCTCCCTTTCTTTCGTTGTTGTTTGAAGCTAGAGTCAGTGGTACATTTTCCCTGACGGCTGGAATCCAGATATTATTAATAATAAGCAGTTTTTGTTGAACTGTCTAGTGCGAGCTGGACAGGAGGAAATTTTTGGACCAGTTCCTTCTTTTTTGATAAGTGTCTTGATATCTCGGGACATCCCACTTTTTTTGTGACTAACATGAAAGGTATGAGATAAAAATTTGATACAAATGGGTTTATAATTATAAATAATGCGTTACACATACCGTAGAGGCATTACTGGTGGAGGACTAAACTGCGTCGAAGAACTTGGCGAACCAAGTTGCCTAGAGTTTTGCAAGAAAATTAGAGCGAAAAAAGGAAATGGATACTGGTTTTTCCAAAACAATTTCATTTCGTTCTATGAACATCCCATATAAGTGGCGTAGCTCTTTTTTTGGTCCTGTGGATATGAACCTGTCTGGTGGAACAGATTTAAAAATTTGATTTTTATTTTGTCATGTAAAAGGCCGAGGTGTCTTCCTGTGGTTTGAATAACACCAGTTTCAAGTAGCGCAATATTCATTCGCTAGTGAGGCTGTTGGTGATTTCTCCTCCAGGCTTAACTGGGATGCAAACCGAAACTGAGTCTCTATTTGGGACATTTATTTGTGTGGTGAAATTCAGGATATTTTAATTTTGTAAATTTCTCGCGCTTTGTATCGTTAGACAAGAAATTTGCCATAGTTTTAATGTGTTCGAAGGGTATAGCTCTGTGCACATCAGAAATAATTTATTTTCTGTGGTATCCGCACCGGGTAGGGACTCATCTTTTGTAGCAAGGAATTTGCTTTCGCCACATGTGTGAGTTCATCGCTATTCGAAAACCCAATTTCCGGATTTCCTTCGCTGTTTTTATAATTTATTGTTTTTAAAGAAAAATTAGAAGGGAGAGCGTTTTTTAACTTTTTCGAAGCAAATTCCCCCCCCCCCCTCTTCTTTTGCTCCTACTAGTCCTTCTCCCTCTTCTCGCCGACGGTGTTTCCTCTGCCTATACAAATAGCCCTTGATCCTTAATCGTGCCTCAAAGTGGTCCTTCTGTTCAACATCCAACTACAATAGCTTTATTTCGTATTTACTATCTACTCCGCAATTATTTAACCGACTTGTCAATTCCGGAGAGCCATTCAGGCTGTAACAGTTGAACAAGCAGTAAGTAGACTCGCTGTCCTGATCCGCTTTATAAAGTTATCGATTCTATGTTCAGAGATTTTACAACATCAGATAATAGCAGCTGTATTACTGTTTAAACTGCTTTCAGTGTGCTTTTTATTATTTTCACCATCTGCTTCTCCAAAAGGACCAGTTTCTGCAGGAAAATTCACCGCATTCGATGCGACTGAATAATAGCTCGAGTTCGGCATCGGTAGCGTCGCGTCTATACACTAATGGAACGCGTGGATCCCGACGTGGCAGTTTCGGAAGCGAACCAGAATTGATGAGTTTCAGTGATAACGAAACGTCCATCCAGGAACTCAATGAAATCTGCAGCCAGGTTAGCATCGCATTTTTTGCTTTGATTATATCAAAATCATAATTACTTGCTCACGATTAATTTTAACAATGCTTTTAATATGCAGCAAAACAAAGCTGAAAAGTTATCACCTTCACTTTTTGCTTGTCGGCTTCGCTGCAACGAATTCTAGTTTCAAGGCTTGTAACATCCGATGAGCCAGATTAGCCAATATTATCGTTTAATCTTTCTGTATGCGGTACTGCGTGAGAAAAAGAACTGTAAAAACAGTATGCCGTCCTATCGTCCTTTTTTTATCTTCTTTGACGGTACCACTGTCATAATAATGTCGACGGGAACAAACGAAGTGGTAATATTTTAAATTGTTTTTTTTAAGCCGTTGGCAGCTGATTCTGCCTCTGGCAGCCTATGCAGTTGGATCAGCACAATTTTGCTCGCTAACTACCGAAATCCATTTGTTTCGAAACTTTTCTCAGCTGTTTGTCTTGTGCTTCGCGAGTTTGGTAGAGAGAATTCGTGGCTTTTTTCGCATTTAGTTTCTTGATAACTATCATAAGACTTATACTACGCAGGCATCAAAGTTTTTGGGCATTATTAAAAATATTTGCGTTTGATCAGTTATTTTTTTACCATGCACTTATTTCCGGCCACAGAGAGCCATCGTCCGAAGACATCAACAGCGCGGCAAGGCATCACAGTAAATAGCCTTTTTTAAAATATGGCTAAAGGATAGATCAAAAATCCTCGGATAATATAAATCGAATAGTAATTCAAAAGGGAAGAGAACTATGAGGGACACAGGTGATTTTGCGCTGCATTGCCTAACAGTATTTGCCAGTGACAATCGCTCCAAAAAAACCCAGGCAGCGACGCTCAAGGCCTGTCAGTGCGATAATCCGTTTTAGCATGATTCCATTCTGTAGAGAGATCGCCTGTACTACTAGGATATGACCGCGAAGTTGTAGTTTGAGCATTTCTTGCGTCTGCAAAGCTCAGATTAGGCTTGATGATCCAAACATGAACAGCAAACAACCTGCTTCCTGCTCATTCACGTTACCAAGTTATTTGGGTGCCAACAGCTTCCCAAACTAAACTTTTACTTGCAAGCAGTAGGCCTGCTTTAAAGCTGAATTTGAAATATTTTGGTAGTGCATGGGCACAGAATATCTTCGTGAAGTTTCAGCTTCCTAGCATGACTGATTGGCGAAATTGCTTCCCCGCAAGTTTGCATGAATTCTTTTCGGCATCCACGTGTGAGACCCAAACGTACATGAACGATGGCTCTAAAAGTGGAGCATCACACATGGGATGGAGACACACCCCAAAGTTTCAGCTTCATAGCTTCTTTGGTTGCTGAATGAAAGTGGATCACAAAAATGCGAACACGCATATACATGCCGACAATCTCTCGAAAACATGCTTTTTGCGTTCGCGTGAAGATGCAAAAATGCATAAAAATTGGTGAATTTGTGTGCTTAAAATTTCAAAGTCAAAAAAATTTTTCCACTTCGTTTGGCAGCAAGTCCACTGCTAATCAAAAGTGAAAACAAGCTGCGAATCGCTGCTACTGCTGCTTTCGTACACGAAGCATTCTTGCTTCAGTACTAAATTTTTCGGAATATTCAATGTCAAGAAAGCACTCCAAAAATTACCTGCGTATTTTTTTTTGATAGGAAGTTGCAGTACATTAACTTTCTGAGTTTATTTATCGGCCCCCAGTGCTTTTTCTCTCCGCTTTTGAGTGCTAAATCTATTACATTTCGTACGCTGCTTGTATGGTCTTAGGGTCATTGGCCCGCTGTTCCGTGAAAGTAAGGGGTATGTTGGAGTTTAGTAGTATGGGGTTCAGGAGTATTGAATTGCGCTTGTACTTGTAGGTTGGAGCTAGTAATGTTTCAGGTATTTTACTGATGGAAGTAACGGTACCGAATGCTTTCCTTGCTTTCTGCGGTGGCGAATGCCAAAATCCATTGGCCATTGTAAAAAAGCCTGGGAATTAGTCAAAATCAGCAGAATTGGGAGTGGATTCATGCAGGAGCAGTTATTTGAACCGGAACACGCTAAATTCGGGCAAAAAATTGTTCAGGAAAATAACGTAATGGGGGAAAAGTCAACGGTTGTCGTTTTGGTCTCAGAGGAGTGGCTGGTTTTGATAGCTCTGCGCGCACCTTCTGATCACAGGCTGAAACTCTCTTCGTTACTGAGCTGTAATTAGTGTAATTATTTAAATGTTCCTCCTCGCAATACAATTCTGATAATAAAAATTATTGCAAGAATTGTTGTTATAAACAGATTTTGACCCAAATCGCAGATGATGCTGATTGTCTTGGTGACTCTGGGCATGCAGGAACTAGTTTTGAAATGCGTTCGCTTGCTCTCCGAAGATATCTGATTTTCCATGGAATGTGAGGAGTGAGAAGGAAAAATTGCGGCATTCAGCAGGGTGCTTTTTTTGTTTTTTGGGGCGATTGAGACGCATTGTTATGTGAAACAAATGTTGCAGAAAATTTAAACAAATGTTGCAGAAAATTTGACTTCAAAAAATACAAAATACTTCGCAGCTGCCGTTCTTTATGGAATGTCGTTGCACATGGAATGCAGCCACAATGGCTTCTTTGTTTAAAGCTGAGTTAATTAGTTAGATGCATAGTCGTTTTTTTAGGTGTCGACACTTTCTAAAAAAGTTAACGATTTGGAAGAAGAGCGAATGAGTTCGGGTGACGAGCGAGCACGCTTGAGGACCGACAATGCAGTGCTCACGGAGCGTGTACATATTTTGGAGGAACAGTTACAAGCTGCTGAGCAGAGGTGTCATTTTTGTGCGTTCTTACATTCCATCAAATTTGAAAATGCATCAGACCCATCATGTTTATTTGTTTGTGTATCACATATTTCCAGTTTTTTGCTCAGCTTTTATTTGGGAAATTGTGACTGAAGTTCGGCGACAGTGACTGCTACAATGTTGTTTTGCAGGTGGAAAGAGAAATTAGCAGAAGAAAAAGCCCGAAATCGAGATCTGATATCCCGAGTGGAGCGCGAGAAACAGCTGGAGATGGAAAGCGCTACTCTTAAGTATCAGGTATTTCTGACCATATCGCTAGAAATATTAAATATCTGCGTGCGGAAAAGCAGTTACGGAAGAAGCAACAGTTGATCCCGGTCGTTGCCCAGAAATTCTAAAAGCATAGTCTTTGTTGAGACTTGGATAAGTAGAAATTCACTTCTTTGCAATGAAGTGGCACTGATCGATGTGGGCTTATTTTAAGCAGCTGTTTAATTGGGCTCTAGTAAAAAAAAATCTGAAGTTCTTTTTTTTACAGTCCGATTCTTCTTCCAGAGCAATTTTCCGCGTAATAAGCCAACAAACGAAGTATCGCGACCTTAAAAGTTGTGGGTCAGACTAGTGTGCTTGCTCTGTGCGTATAAGTGTGCGTATAAGCAATACCTAGGTATAGATACATGCTAAAAATATTAGCTATAAAAAATAAATTAAAATAGGTAGGAAGAATGTGGCGAGGCTCTGGAGAGCCGATGCTCTCCAGAACAGGATGGTCGAACTTGACGCAGAGGCGAAATCAAAGAACAACACACTGAATCCTGGAGGCGATGAGGAATGTTTTTACACCCGGGTAACCAGAGATCAAAGAAACTGCATGGCTGTAAGGGAGGTAGGGTGTCCCAAGATTAAACAGGGGACCAAAGAAGTTGCACCATAATGAAGCAATGGCTTTTTACGAAATTTTTGACAAAACGTAATAAATCTTTATGTAAAAAAGAAAAGGTGTTATGAAAGTACGCAAGAAAGATGTGGAAGGAAGTTGTGAAAGTACCATTCTGAAGGTTATGTTAACAACAATAAAATTCAAATTCCGCAATGCACAGTTTTCATCTACTCATTCGGCCACTGTGGATCCACGTTGGGTATATTATTTCAGGTTCTGGAAAAGGACTGCGCCGGAATGAGAAAAGAGAGGGACAAGCTGCACAGTGACATGCTTAATTTGCAAATTAGCCTTGATAGCACGCGGGAGCAGCTGATTGAGGCCAATTCAATCTGCGAGGCACTGGAAGAAGCGCGACTGAAAGTTGAAAGGGAATTCAAAAGGTAAACTTATCGCTGATTTTCAGTATTTAAGGCATGAGGATTCCGTGAAAAAAAAAAAGACGATTTCTGCCTGTTTCCTGACTTATGATGTCTTTTTGGTGCCACAGCAATCAGCACTGAAGTGAGGATGCGGGAAAGAAGCATGTACGCCTGCGAAAATGGCTTTTTTTATCTTCCGCCACTTTTTTAGGCAGTTTAATGCCCGTATTTAGTGATTCTTCAGGGACATTTAAACACAGCTTTCCCGAGAAGCAAAATTTTTTTCGACTTATGTCGATTTCTCTCATCGTTTAGATTATAGATGAAACATCTCTTCTTAAAAAATACTGCATTCAAAGAAGTCAATCGCACTACCATTGCCGATGCTTTTTTCAAGATTTAGAAATGCTGCAGAACGATACTTTTGTTCTCTCTTTCTTTCAGAAGGCGGAGGATGGTTGTTGTGTTCTTCGCGACACATGTTGAGTTCGGGTTTTATTAGAATGCCGAAATTGACCAAAATAATCACAGCAGTTTAAGGAGCTCCGAGGGTTTTTGAGTTCTTCGGTAGATGCTGACCGGGGTTGCACGGTTCGCACGGTACTGTCTTTTTTATACGTAACTGAACTAACATCAGTTCGCACCGACACTCCTACAGTACGCCGGTCAACACTGTGCCGATCCACGCCGCTTTGGAGATCCACAAACACAGGGTCTAAATTACACAGCATTGAGTCACATTCCGGATTATGGTTCGTGCATGCCTTGATCCACGGATCAACGATCTTGCTCCTAATAGTTGCGTTTGTAAAATTCGGCCCTACATGGCAGTTGCTGTTTTTTCATCGAAAATTATTGATGTTTTATTACAGGTTTCGTGAAGAAGCGCAGCAGGACATTGACAGCAGCTCGGAATTGGTCGAGGAACTTTCCCGGCAAACTGACGAACTGAAGCGTCAAAAAATTGAAGCAGCGCCGCGTGCTTCCGTTACAGAACAGGTCCGCACGCTTTGGACATTTTCTTTGATAACAGAAATGAACTTCCTGCTTTTTCTTACTTCCCTCAGGACTTTAAATATCTTATTATATACACAGATTTTATCATTTGACTATAGCCGTTGAAGGTTTCACCATGCAACACTCTATTGCAGATAATTTCGCTAGAAAATGAAGTGATTCGTTATCGGAAAGAAAATAAGGAACTGAGAAAGCAGAATGAAGATTTGCAAGCACAGCTCATACATGAATCCATTGAAGCCGGACAAAATTTGCTTCTCGAGGAGGATCGGAAGCCATCGTTGGCCGAGGAACTAAGTGGCAAAGATTCAACAGAGGTGGAAGTTTTACGGTGTTGACTAGTAATTAAGCTTTCGGGAGAGGCGGGTATTCATCACTTCTTAAAATATCGACGGACTTTTCGAACGCTTTTTTACATATAACATTTATTAAGCAAATAAGTTTCCGTTGTGCATAAGCTTTTAACAAAAAAAGACATCGCAGTAGGCAATTTTTTTTTAATATGTAAGCAGTGTTTCAATACGTTTCCCATTTTAGATTTTGCTTTATACCTATTTGAAGTGCTTTTTCAGCTTATGAATGCCTTGAAAGAGCAGGAGATATGTAATCAAAAACTGCGCAGCTACATTAATGGTATTCTGATGCGAGTTATTGAATTGCATCCTGAAATTTTGGAAATTAAAGAGAAAGACGAGAAACAATCCGCAGATGGCAGCTGACGGTTTTCCGATCAGGTGCCGTTCGTTTCTTGGCATAATTTCGATAAAAATTAATTGATTTTTATTCATAAGAATTTAGCGCGAATTTGGTGCAGGTAGCTGACTTTTTGAGAAAGCCGCGTAAGCAAACAGACACTGGTAGAAGTTTTTCAGGTCACACATGGACGAGTTCATCCTGGTCTTTCATTTTCTAAAAGTGGGACAAAAAGTTAAAGAGGAACAGAGGAGAGAGAGAGTAATGGCAAGATGTGTCTGAACTGAGACAAATACCTTAAAAAAATTGTGGGGTGAACAAGGGTAGCCGGTGCGATCATGCTTTTACGCATTTCTTGCTCAGCGGGGCTAGAAATATGCCAATACTTCCTGCCTGAATCTAAAACATCTTAAAAATTCCTGGAAGAATCAAATTGTTTGGAATGAAATTTGTTTGCAGGAGCAGTGCGCCTCAAAATCATTACCCAGTACAGCTCGCTCATCAGAGCGGCATGCAGAACCACGTCACGGGTCAGAGCCTGGCTCGCCAGTCCAGCAACAGCAGTATTTCGCGACAAAGCTTTACAATTTGTGGTCTGCCGACTGGAGCTTCTTCCGCCGTACACCGTCATAGTCACTGAGCACGATGTATCTGACCTTGCAGGGAGATCTCGCACGGGAACCTCAAATGTGGGATAAAAAAGAGAGCATGTGCGATATGCCACACTCATACAGACGGGAAAATGTGATGCTGCATAGTGGTGCACGCGTGACTTTTTGTGGCTTTGCGTGCAATTTATGTTCGGAGACCTCGACAGAGAAACGCAGAATGAAATTTAAGTGTGAGGCAAAAGACTAAATGTGACCATCTGGCATCAAATTGAGTTTTATCGCCGGAAGGTGTCACACTGATTTCAAAAACTGGGAGATTACGAGAAAGAACCACCGTGATCTGGTTTCGGATAATGCCACTTATTGGAAACTTTAATGTGGTAACTTTTTAGAGGTAAATGAAGGTATCGAAGGTCATTTATAAAAAATCCTGAAATGATTCTTGCATTGCTAACGTTCGCGAGGTCAGTGCATAAAAACTTCATGCTCTTGTGGTTCTGCTATGAGTACTGGCTGGGTGATGCTGCGAACATTAATTCGTTTTGAGGTGAATTTGATCGGATGGATTCTGCTGGTATTGATGTGTTACCACTGTTATTGTACATCCACGGTGCTTGCGTTGTTTCCAAGAAATTTCACACGATGTCGGGATGATGGCATAAAGCGAAGGGGTGAAAAAAACATGCTAGAAGATGGGGAGCTTTTTTGGTGGCAGCAGCTGATCTGGTTGGAATTGGATGAATTATTCAGTTGGAAGGATATTGAAAGAGTGCAAAAAGATTCGAGTCATCGTTTTGTTTGAGTGGTACCAAATCGGCGGAGGGGAAGGGGGAACGATGAGAGGGAGTGGGGAGCGGGGGAGGGGAAAAGGGAAGAAGCACCTTTTCAGTTCCAGCTATCAATTTGCGTCGTGCCAGCAGTCCATCCGTTCCGTTGCTTCTGATCGATGTCCGATGTTTAATGCCTTTCTAATGAAAGCATTCTACTTTATTTGTTACAAATTGTTTTTTTGGTTCTTCACGTCCATGTTCAGATCAAATTTCCTATTCGGTTCGTTTGTGTTGCTACTGCTGCTGCTGTTGCTTCTTCTTCTTCTTGAGTCTTCGAAATCGCGCAGTGCTTCAACCGGTTTCCATAAAATTTTAAAAAATGCGCTTTTCACTAGGTTTTGTTTTCCTCGCCTTTCTCGAATAGTACATATTTAAAAACATGCCTATTTTATGCACGGTTTATCGTTATTCTAGTAATTAGCAATTACATCTCATCCGCCTGTGATCGTCCTGGAAATGAAGCTTTGCACTGCAATCAGCAATTTCTTCTTTTTATCTGTAGTTCTAACGGTTGTTTTACATCTCCACAGGAAGTGGAGATGTAAACAACCGTTAGAACTACAGATAAAAAGAAGAAATTGCATATATCTTCTTCTCAGCCAACTACGTAAAAAACGCTTGTTTAAACAGCGAATTTTTTTTGGACTCTATCAGCATCGTCAAATTTTTTTAACTGTAAAACATTGTAATATGTACAATAATCATGCACTGTTTCAATTTTCGTGTAATCGCTTGCAAATTTTTCCATTGGCTTATGAAGGCAAAAATATTGTTTTCAGTTATTTGACTTGACTACAAAGATTATTTACTAATTGGGGCCTGGCTAGTTCATTTTTATGCGTTTCTTTTCCAACGAAATTATCCTTTTTGGGGTTCTCATGCTATTGGGCGGATGATGGCTCGAATGTTTAGCAGATGATCCTGTTGTTTCGTTTCCGGTCAAAATACAGTGTTTGCTGACAAAATGGATCACGCTGAAGCTGTTATTTTTAGCTGCTGCTTCATCCACACAACTGTAATTGTTTTTAAATATTATTAAAGCAGTTGATCTATGTTGCGTATTTTTAAATGTCTTTCTGAACTGCAATGCAAATTTTTGTTAAAATTCGTTCGTGTTTTGCAGTTATTTCAGGAAGGTTCAACATTCCGAGTCACTTTTTTTCCACATTCATCACTAGCACTGCATCGGTCGTACTGATGCAAATTTTGAAAAAAGTTTCCAGAGTACGAACTGTATGGTCCGGGAATACAACATGCCAACAACTTTTAGCTGAACTGAAGCATCAGTCATCTTTTGTGACGAAAGAAATCACTGAGCTTCAGATCTGAACTTCTGCATTCTGAACTTTTGCTGTAAGATTTTGACGCTGAAGTGAGCTTAATGCTCCGTTGATATGATTTGAAAAAAAGACAATTTTTATCTAATTTGTCAAAAAATTGTTAAGTTCTGTTATCAAAATCTCGAAAATGTGACTCTCCATGCGGGCGTATATGGAGGAGATCAGCTGCCTAACTAACTTGGTTTCTGTCCCAAAACGATTCAGTTCAAACACCAAATGAGGATAGCTCAGTGATTGCCAGAGCACACTGACAAAAAAATATGATGGCATATCAACAGTACACCTAGACTGCAAAGATTTAAAAATGTGCAGTTAGCTGACAAAGCAGCAGAACCCAGTGCGCGCTGCTATTATCATTTATCCTTCCATCTCCTTCCCACAGAATCTCTCCGTATTAGGAATGTTTTTGCGGAAAAGCAGAGTTAACAAAATTAATGGAACTATTCTTGGTATTGCTTAGAAGTGTGAAGCAGAGAGTTCTCTCTTTCATCCTGCAAAGCCAGTGCTAAGAATAACAATTCTGCCGCCGTTCATTAATTCAAAAGTTCCCTGATGAAACGCCTGTAAGAGGATTCTTTGGGAAGGCTTTTTCACCGGAGTTTGCTTCTCAAGCACAAATTGGCGAAAAAAGCCTAAGCATGGCTTCTGTTGACGATGGCGATTATTAAGTACTACTGAGATTCTTGAGGTAATGCAGTGAAGGGTTCTGGCGTTGCAGTTTTTTATTAGTAATACAACGGAAGTAACTAGGAATACATCCAGTTTGAAATGCACTAGACTTGCCGGTACAACCATGCGTTTTTGCACCAGATTTGAAGTACTCAGGTCGTTAACTGCGTTAATTGTCGTTTCACACCTATCTCTTGAGTTCGTTAGCGTAAATCATTGTAAATTTAGCATAAAGGAAATAAACAATTTCCGTTTAAGGGTAATTCTTTGAAAATGACCTAGCTGTTCAGTGAGCAATTTTCCCGCCAAAACTTTTAGCTGCCCGTATGTGATAACATGCATAGCTGGAAGCTGAGTCTGAAATATTTATTTTGTAGTTGAATAGGGTACACTCCCCTAAAATTTCAGCTTTCCGGATTTCTGGCTCACGAGTTAGTAATTTTCCCGCCAAAACTTTCACATGCCCGAATGTGAGTTACATGTGCACAGGAAAACCAAATTTGAAATCTTTAAGTTATACGTGGGAGGAGAATATACCCTTAAAATTTTTGCTTTCAGCCTTTCTGGTTGCCGAATTAGCAACTTCCCTGATAAAAATTTCACGTGGCCGTACATGAAAGCCACTCATACCAAGGGGCTGTATTTAAAACCTTTAGTCCACACATGCACAGAGAATATCTCTGCAAAGTTTTAGCTCTCTCTCCCTTCTGGTTCCCGAGTTCGCCTTCCCTCCAAAAAATTTACATATTTTTTAAGGCGTCCATGTGTGGCATCCAGGCGTATGCAAATGATAATATTAAAGGCCAATTTTTTTGCGTTTTTGCATAAAAATTGGCCTGAATAGCTGCTGACTGTCACGGTTGTCCTTGGGCTGACAGTGTTAAGCTACGAAAGACTAAGCCGGGAGTACACTGTCTGCGCGGAAAAGCGTGTTCACTTTCGGTAGATACAGTACTGTATGCGTTGCGACAATGTTTTCATCAGGTGCATCTTGATTTTTTGGTCATTTCCAGAAAATATGCAAAACCGATGACCTGTTCACAACAAGTGCTTTTGACTCGGCTGAAAAGTTCCATAGTAAGGACTTTTGTAGTAAATAAAAGGCAAGAAGTAGAAGACAAGCCAACACGCTTATTAATGTGTACGCAAAACGGACAGATGTTTGATAGTTTATAGGCTATGTGCTTAATCTATTCAAGCATGTGTTTATCGCTGTGAGTTCGGATGTTGGCTTGAACTGCTGCATGCTGTCCAGCAAAATATGGCGTTAGTGTGCGAAAGCAAAATCCTGCAAGCTTCCACAGCAAAAATAGCTAAATATTACTACAATGCACAACCATAATTTACTGGAAAAGATCTTTTCTAAGGTAAATGAAACTGTGACTTTCTTTGTAACAATGCACTGTCCAAAAAGCACAGTACATGTAAATACCATTTAAACTGACAACAAAGCCACTGAGTAAAAATGGAAAAAGACAGTTCAGAAAAAAATCCAAAAAATTTGATTGCAGCAATGCTACTTGAGTTAATCAACTTCAGCGAAAATAAAATTATGTATTCTGTGGCATAAGCGTGC